TTAAAATAATGTGGAAGAGCATTTTTTTTTAAAATACCTAATCTTGTATTTACAGTACGTTTTATGGGGACAATTCTCTGCTGAAGCAAACGGTTTATTAAATCCAAGTGTTGACTTGTGTCCTACACTGCAGAAAGAAGATGGGCAGCAGCAGCAACTGTGCTGATGATGAAGCGGAAAGCCTAAGTTAATACAGAAAGTTAAAAAAAAACACTACTGAGACACCGATTATTGTCTCTGGCTGAGTTTTTAGGTTTTATCGAGTCAAAGAAAGTGTGGCTTTGCTGAACTTTCTCTGTAGTACCCCTCAGGTCTCCTCTGACATGCATGGTGAAAAGAACACCCAAGTGCTGCACTGGCAGAAGTAACTTTTTGTCCTTATTATTAAAGCTGCAGACATCATGAAATCCTGTTTTCATTTTTGTTTTTTCAGTGTTCGCATTTAACCAAATAAATCTTGACTATAAAAAATAACTGAAGAGTTTAGGCACCACTAGTCATTGCCAGGATGAGGTATAGATGGATGGAGATGCTGTAACATCACCCACTGGTTGTTGAAGTCTCATTAAGAGATTTCAGCTAATTGTTTTCACCTTATTCATCTTGATATTTAGAGAGTTGGTTTCATGAACAAGAAGCGGATCTGGCTGAGAAACTGAGAGATGCTTTAGACTCATTGGCAAACGAGATGTGATTGACAGGTTGTTTGCCAGCAAGCACACCTTATGTACAGTGTATAGGATTAGGTAGAAGAAATTATAGTTATAGACTAAAACAGATGGATGATAAACACTGTAAGATAGATAGAATAGTTTATTTCAAAGAAGTAAATGTAACTAATTACCAGTTATGTTTGACATTGCTTCATATGGAGTTATATCTATGTGCAAAATACCTTAATGAACGTTTTAATTTACTCTTGCCTTAATCTATAAAAATAAGGAGAAGACTTCAATAGAAAACAATGAGACAGCTCAATCACTGAGAGGATGAAGTCTATATTCATGCAATTTATTGCTTCTAAACAAATGTGTGTATTCTTGTACTTTTCTTAACTTCATCTGTACAGGTGTTCTTATCACTCTTTTTGCAGAACGTATATTGGATGGGTGTGTGTTTTACAGGTGTTTCCCTACCCTTCCACACACAATATAGCATGTACGGGAGTATAATAGAACAATACATATAATGTGTATATAATGATTTTTGATTTATGAGATCCTTAACCTTGTAGAGAATTGCAAGAGACGTTGATATTTTGCCTTTAATATAAGTGAATCTAGGATAGTTTGTGATGTATTATCACACCACGGATTCCTATTTCAGATACTCTTCTGTCTCATTCAAAGTTATTTATTGTCACTTTACTATTTGTAGAATATGCACAATTCCCAAATATCATGAATTTTGTTTTACTCATGTTCAATGTTAATTTATTATAGTCAAACCAAGTCTTCATATTATTTATTAGTTTTCTAGTTCATTCAGAAGTTGTTCCAAGTTACTTCCACAGTACAGTAAGTTTGCATCATCTGCAAATAATATTATTTTCAAAGACTTTGAAATTGCACATATATGTCATTAATATACAATAATGTACAGAACTTATCTTTGGGGAACCCCACATACAACAGGTTTCAATTTTGATTTTATGGCATTTATTTGTTTATATAAATAGTTTCTGGTTTTTAAGGGAACTGTTAACCCATGATAATGCCACCCCTCTGACCCCATATGTGCAAAGTTTATTAAGTAAAATGTTGTGACTGACTTTATCAAATGCTTTTTTTTTTAATCTAAAAAACTCCAGATAGCATATTCTTTGTTTTCAGTTGCAGTTGTTACTGTATCTTTAAATTCCGTTAAGGCATGTGTTGTGGTTCTTTTGGGTCTAAATCCACACTGCTGTTCATACAGTACATTGTTTTTTGTGGGAAAGTGATACATTCTATTGTAAAATATCTTTTCCAGTATAGAAGAGAACTGTGGTAGCAAAGAGACGGGCCTATAAGAATTTATAAAACATTTGAAGACAAATATTTGTATCAGAGGGGTGAAAAATGAGGCTTGGGGACATGTACGATGTTGTCACTGGGGAGTACAATAACCTTTAACACAGTTTAAAAGAACATCGTCTTCCATCTTCATAGCAGGTACTTCCTGTCACTGCCGGATGCTCGCTTGTCATCTTGACACCTCAGCAGCAGTTCTGCGACAAACTGCTTTTGCAACCTCAGCAAAACATGATTAAACTTTCCCCTCTAAATGATTCTCTCTAA